CAGCCCACCTGGAGAACAACCGGCTCACCCAGCTGCCCCGAAACTTCCCCTTCGACAAAATGGAGACGCTGACCCTCTCCAGGAACTCCTGGCACTGCAACTGCCAGCTGGCAAATCTGCGCAAGTACGGCACCGCGCGCCCCGTCCCTCCCTGGGCTCCCCTTGGGGGTGGGCACCCCCCCGGGCGGTGCCAGGCAAAAAGAGGCTGCTCTCATGCTCGGCAGCTCTCTCCTCAGCTTACCCTCTGATGTCCGTGGTTTGTGCCTCTTGTAAGCTCCGGGTTTTCCCCCTCCCCGTGTCCCAGGTGGCTGAAGGGGAATCGCACTCGCACCGAGGATACCTGCTCCACGCCCTCGCAGTACCGGGGACAGTCCATCAGGGACACCCCCGCCCTCCGCACCTGCAAGCTGCCCACCAAGAGGTCCAGGAAGGGAAGCCGCCATTGAACATGTAAGATGGTTCCCTTTTAAGATGATTGCCTTTTAATCACACCTCCAGCAAACCACAAAAGGCGCTGGGCGTTCTGTCTCTGACTTAAATGACACCAGGTTACGTTGGTGACAGCTCATCCATTCCCCCACTGATGCCTCCATCTCCCGGCAATGCTGAGCTCCATGAGCTCCCAGAGCAGAGAACCTGCCTGGAGCATCAGGGATGGAGTCAACTCCGTAAAGCAAACACAGGGATAAAGACAGGCCTGGGGTGGAAAGTAAGGGCAAAGCATGTAAACAAATATAAAACAGAGAAGCAAGGACTCTGAAAATATACACAGAACAGCAATCAGCTTTGAAATCTTCAGAGCTCCTATTGCAACATGTGAAAAATCCAATCTCTTTTTGCAGTAATTATTGTACTTTAAGAAAACAAAGAAAAGCCCTATATTGTAACAAGGTTTAAACCTCAATCATGCCTCAGGAACCATGGTGATATGCACCCTGTACAATGCAATGAAGCCCCATACTGAGTCAAGATGTAATTGTTGGGCAACAGGGATAAGCACGATATATCAAAACAAGGGTGGACTTAGCCCACCCTTGCCCCGAGCTGGGATCACACAGGCTTTGGTTTTCCAACCAACTGGACATGCTCAGCCCTTTGCCCTAGTAAAGGTCCTCCAGGTCTGGTGTGAAATCCAGGGCAGGACATTGCTGGGAAATCTGGCCCCAGGCTGCCCAGCCCAAAGGAAAATAGATACCTTCCACAAGGAGCAGTTCTTGATCCAGCTCTTGCCTTTCAGCAAATACAATTCCCATCCAAGACAGTCAGGTATTTAAAAACAAGGGCTGATGCCTTCAAATGAGTATCCCAGCAGAGGGAGGTTTGAGACAGCAAATATTCTTTGGTAAGGTGTCCTGGGCCAGAAGGTGAGTCAGAGACAGGGCTGCCTTTCCCTCCAGCAATGAGCTTGCTGACGGTCACCAATCCAAACACCGATCCCACAAACACCTTCCACAGCTGGAAACTACCAAGAGTATTAAATTCAGCCCACAGAGGAGCAAAAAAGCCACAACTGTCATCACTCCATGCCAAGTAGTTTAATTTTTCCCATCCCGGGAGTAGGTCTGAAGCTTCTACGGATTCCAAAGGACCTTGAATGAGCCTGGAAGTTTGTAAGCTCTTAGGAAAGGGAACTTTGCTCATTTGTTAAGTGACCCTGCATTGTGCCCTTTCAGATCAGAAAAGAAAAGGCAGAAGCCCTAAGCCCAGTTGCGGCCATTTGGTCCCCAGTTCACTAAGGATATGCACAACAGGATGGAGAAAGGAAATTTATGACCAAAATGTCAGGCATTATGCCAGCTGCTCTGTGCCTTTCTAAACTGGTTATTTCTCTTGTAGTGCCAGAGGTTTTATGGATTAGAGATGGAAATACCAGTCATTCCACACAGGGCGGGTAAAGTTTCGCTCTAAGGATGGAAAAACTTCAGTTTTCTAAACCACAATACTTAAATATTTTTTATTTACAGGTCTGACCCTTCTTAACCTTCTTTTCTCCCTGCCTGAGCTCAATCCCAGTTCACTCTTCCATGATGAGAGTAAGAAAGCCATGAAACAACAAAAAACCACCAATAATGCCTGTTTTTTTTTTCTGTAGTACCTTTCATCCAGCTCCCTCAAACAGGTTTACAAGTGTTAACGAAATAGAAAACTACTTATTCCAGCCTTGCAGAAGACAAAGCTCAGTGCCTTCGGGTGTCAGTGCCAAAATGCAGGTATACAAACCCACTCCAGCATGGTGAGCATGAAGTTTAAGGAATATGAAGTACCTCTGACTTCATCTTGCACCTCTTGAGAGCCAGGCAGCTTTCTGTCAGCCACAGGGAGTCTGTATTTCAGGGATGAGCAGTGATTGGGGTCACTGACCACATCTGAGATGAAAAGCTGCTTGGTAGTTTCTAAAATTCTACCTGCCCTGGATTTTCAGAACTGGGGCACCAAAATAATTCACTACTCTTGAAAATTTTGCTCTGGGTTTTACTTTACCAAGAAACTGCTCCTTGACCATCAACACTTTGGGTAAGATACTTAGGAGTCACACAGCAAGCTGGTAGAAGAGCTCAGAGACAGGACTAACCCATCTTCTCTACTGTGGAAACCTGCAACAGCTCCTTGACTCCCAGCTCCTCACTTTCAAGGATGGGCTTCATCCGCTGATTTAAAAATAAACAGACAAATGCCACAGGTTTATTGCTGTGCTTGATAAATCTCCTTAAAGATGTGGCTTTCTCTCTTTTTTCACCCTAGCAGGCCCCGGTATGGCCCGTCCTGGTGACCGGTCACTTCAACCATCAGAAAACTACTGACTTCCGAGTCCTTCCTTGAGCTTCTCCTACCTGTCAGGAAACATTTCTGACATATCCAAACACCTCCAGCCTCCTCCGACTCCCCGCTTCTCTGCTGATCGCAGGATGGAATCCACCTTTTCAATCTTTTCCGACATCTTATGTATTTTAAAAGAGGCGTTTTTAAAAACTAAACTATGCATGACCATACTAAGACAAGCTAACCTAGATCCTGCCGGTAAAACACAGTCATCTCTCCCAGAGGAAACACATCCCACCATCAACCAGTTGGTCGCTGTCTCTCCCATTCCAGCGGAGTGGAAGCAAGTGGGAAGGTAGGAGCATCCCTCCCCCAGCTGCTTGATCAGGAAAATCGGTCTCAACCCACGCAAAGAGACTCCTCTGCCTTCCCACGGAGGGGATCCCTGCAGGCCAGGGCTGAGGGGACAGTGAAGCAGTGACCAAGAACCAGAGGCCCTGAGGCCGAGCTGCCTTCCACACCAAGAGGCAAAAATCTCCCTAAGTCAGACAGAAATCCTTTAAGGGAAGCAGTACTGGGAATCCCCAAAACTGGAGCCATCTGAAGACTGGATTCCCTCCCACTCTGTGGGGTCTACCAAGATGTACATCCAAGAGGAGAAGGTATGCATCGTGCAGCTGGCTCAGGCACCCCTCCTCTCCTCCCTGCCCATACCCCAGAGGATCTAGCAGGATACCAGGATGACTGTGGTTTATTGTCATGGCTATTACAACACCACAGTTTCAATTTAACTACGTTTTTTAATCCTAAAGAGTTATATAAATATATGTATATTTATTCCTCTGTAACTGAGTGTAAATGACCTTTAAGAGGGTGAAAACTCCTCTGTCTCCTATATAGAAATCAAATTGTATATTTTCTTATGTACATCTTCTGTATAAAGCTCTTGCTGCAAATATGAAGTCAACAAGTCTCTCTGTGTCTGTCTGAGGGCTGGAGGGATCAGAAGTAACATGAGACCAGTGGCACAAATATAGACTTAATCCTCTTTATCCCATGGGCAGAACAACTGTTTGGGAGGGTTTTATTATTTCTCCCTCTACAAAACAGGAACATGTGACACCTAATGAGTCCTGGGCATTTGCAGTAATGCCTGAAAATATTTTGTGAGGCCAAACTCAAGCTTATTATAAAAATAGGTAGCTGTCACCTGACAGAGTTCAAACAACAGCACCAGGGTTGCCCCGGTGTTATCAGATTGGCATTAAGAGCATCATATCCAGGAAAAAACCCTGGCTGCCTCCGAGGCGGCTCCAGGACAGATGCCCTGGATTCCCCTGGTCCATGGCAGGACACACAGTTGTCCCTGTAAAACCCTGGTGCAGTTGGGGTCTGCCAAGAACAACATGCCTAATCTGACTCCCAGCCCCACGTGTTTGTCCATCACATCAGCCTGCTTCCTCAGCCTTCAGAAGCAGTGTGGTACTGAACTAACTTCCTTTAGAGTAAAACAAAAACAAAGAAAACCGTTTTTTGGCTCAGCCATTCACCTGCAGATGGCAGGACTTGCCTAGGAAATGTGTCACCTGGAATGCCACCAGCCCCCTCGCTGGTGGCCCGTTCCCCTCCACGTGCAGGACGTGCTGATGCTCTTGCACAGGCCCAGGGTGTCAGGACATGCAGTGGAGCAGCAGAATACGTGGCCCAACACGTGCTGCCCTTCTGGCCACATACCACGTGGTGCTGTGCATGTGGATGGCACCAGTCCCACGATCCAACGACAAAAAACATGCAACAAGGTTTTGCGTCCACTTGCAACCCAGGATGGTGAAACCAACTTGACAGCCCCCACAGCAAGAGGGACACGTGCACCCACCCACACCAACACAAACCAGCAATGCCTCTTCTATCACCATCCTTGCAGTGTGGACAACAGAATGTTTATAAAAGTTTTGAAATGCACCAGCAGAATTTCAGTTCATGGCCCTGAATGCAATGTCTCTTCCTCTTACAAAGCTTTCTCCCCAGATCCCCAAGAGCAACCAAGCAGAACCCCCCTTCTGCCTCCCAGCCCCTCTGCACCTTCTCTCCACAGCCGGGCCTCGCATCCAGGGTCCCATCACGCTGATCCCAGAAACTCTGGCACCACCAGGTACAACTGTGGTCCAGATACACCCAAAATTGGGGTCTCACCATGACAAACACCCGTTGTAGGTCTGGTTACAGCAGCCACAACTCACCACGAGCGTTGGTATGTGCATCTTGGTCATAATTGTCTTCATGATCTCAGGGGGAACAGGAGAACCTGCAATGATTCCTGGAAGAAAGAGGAAAAGACCTTGGAAACCATCTATTTATTCCCAGGAGCAGTCCCTCAAATGGTTCTGCACTCCCAGAGTTCAATGCTGGCAAGACCTCTGGGATACAATGGCTCATGTCAAAATACTGTCTATATTTATAGTTACTTTGTTTCGTTGTTATTTATAGTTATTCTAGAAGCAAAGGCTGCAGCAAGGCCAGTTTGCCTGAATGAACTAAGGGTTGGCAGAGTTCACTCGTTCGGAAGATAAACTCTATAGCACAAACCTAGTCCAAGCTGCAGTTCCCAAAAAAAGGAAAGATTCAGAGGAGAAAGAGGCGCAGATTTTTAGCAGGACAAACACTCCCATCAATCCTCACCATAAACCCCAAAACCTTTCCTCCTGCCTTGCACAGAGCAGCCCTTTTGGGAGAGGGCAGATCCCACTGCCACCTGTTTCATCCTAGGATGACAGAGCAGAAGAGTGGAGTAATATATGGGCTTTTCTGGGGAACAGGATCAGACAGGATCATTTTTCACATAGCAGAGATGATTAGGTAACTGCTTAAATATTTCTTTATGCTCCAGCATCATCTTCTCTCTGTGCTCTTACTGCCTCAAAAAGGGCTGTGGTCTCCCTGTTTCAGCTCAGCTATTTTCAAGGTTGGCTGCAACAAGAGAGGAAGCTCCAGCACAGGGTATCACACCCTCTACAGTACTTGGATCAATGACTTCAGAAACTGGCAGGAAACTTTAGGTCAGAGAGAGAAATCCCAGCGTGGCTCTGCTTTAGGGACTGCACCACCTTGAAGCACAGAAAGCATCTGCTGCCACACGGTGGTGGCTGGTGAGATGGGAGCTGAGGAAAATCAGGCTATTCCTGATACCTCCCCTTGCAGCTAAAACAGAAAGGTCCTTTCCTAGGACTGCCTTAAAATGAGAGAAGAGTCCTAAAATACATAATGATCTAAGGATTCCCCAGGGAAAGGAAATGTAGCATCAAATTAACAGGGGAAACACAAGGCTCGCACAACTAAACTCTTCCCACCAGAAGAGCCATTTGCTCACAAAACTTAATGCAGCCTCCCAGCAGGGAACCAGGAATATCCTGTTTCTCAGGATTTTTCCATTTGGGTTCTGAGCCTTACCTCCCTGGAGAGATGACAGGTCGTAGGAGTCAAAGTCTGGCTGGGAGAGCATGTCTATGAACATGGTCGGTGTGCCAAGGAGGAAGGTGCATCTTGAGGAAGAGAGGGGGAAAAAAAGGCAAAGCTGCAGAGCCAGAACTGGAGGCAGCCCCAGCTCAGCACCCCAGCTCAGCACCCATCCCATCCCACCCCTCACAGGGCTGCAGAGCAGCAGCAAGGAGGCAGGCACAGCAGATGTGCTACTCATCAGCACACAGATATATATATATATAGATAGATAGATAGATAGATATAAATACATAAACAGAGACATATATGCATGTATGATGCAGACACAGCAACGGCTCTTTTGTTTCACAAGTTACACTTGAGGAACAACCTGGAAACACAACTGAGCTGGACTTAGAGAAGAAGGGTAGGTGTGTGAAAACACACCAGCCACAGCAAACCAAGACACCACTATGCTTTCCAGCCAAAGCCATGTGGATCCTTTAATTTTGGGAGAAGTGTGACACACTCCCAAGCACAGCTGGAAAGGCAGATTTTGGCTCCTGAAGTGCCTGCACAAGTATGTGCACCAGCAAACCCGACTCGCCCACCATTGGAAGGAAGAGTGTGAGCAATGTCCTGGCAGGTCAGGTGAGGTGAGGGAAGAAGCACAGCCACAGCCATGAACTGCTCTGTAACAAGACACAAACGAGCTCTCACTTCTCTCGAGACACGGCCTCCAGCGCAGCCTTCCCCTCGAAGCTGGGAGACGAGAAGATGCAGCAGGACCCGTGCAGGGCCATCACCATGCAGCCTCCCACCGACGCCAGGCAGTGATAGAGGGGTGCAGGGACGCAGAAGCGATGGTCCTGGGATCAGCCAGAGACAACAGTGAGGAGAAGAGACCCCTCCCCAGCCCATATCCAGCCCATCTCACTGCTGAAGAGCAAAGATCTGAGCAGAGAGACTTTTTATCCTGATCCGCTTGTTGGAAATCTGACATTCAGCCGTGTTCCTGTTAGGTGGGAACACGACTCTCACACCTCCTGCCTTTAACAAAAATCACCTTGGGAAGTTTTTTAATGTCAAAATTTCATTCTGTAATTTTGCAATTTTTTTTTTGCTGGACTCTTTAGTCTGTTATTGCTTACACATTATATGCCAAAAGAGAAGAGTGGGAGTGCTGTGACAGGCATGAAATATTCAGGACTTGGCACATGCTATTAATTTTATTTTGTTTTCTTTTTAAACACTAAAGACTCTAAAGACTGATTAAAACAATTCATCTATTTTCTGGATCAAAGCTGATATGTTAGAAATAAATAATTCAGAACTTCAAATGAAAATATTTGCCTTTAACAATTTTTAAAAGAAACTACAAATAGAGAGGTCGTACCCTGATAAGAGTTATGAGACTGTAAACATGACATTAAATGAAGTCATGTAAACCAAATTAAAACCTCATTCAACAGAATTCAAAGCTAACACTTAGTCTTGTAATTATTTGAAATAAGTATTCACCAAAATGAAGTGAATAATTTCATGATTTTTCCCCCACAAAATGATAGCTCTTTTTTTTCCCCCCCAAAAAAAAACCTTCACATGAAACTGAAATGAATCATCAATGAACTCCATTGAAATGCAAAATGCTGTGCATTACTATCCCTCAATGTCATTTGCAGCAAAACATCCTGCCCTGTCTCTGAGCAAGCACCAACGCTCTCCACACACGTGGTCTCTCTGTGGCAGTGGAGACCATCCTAAACTGTGTTCCCACCAAAACCCACCTGCTGTGCGATCCCCAGCCTCAGACCGATCAGATGGGCATTATTCACAATGTTCCTGTGGGAGAGGGTGGCTCCTTTGGGGCTTCCCGTTGTGCCCTGGAAGACACAGAGCATTATGCAGTGATACCACCTTTTCTGAGGATGAGCTACGTGTGCTCTGCAGAGATTTCCCAGAAGACTCTGGGGTGACCTTGCACTTCATTCTCCAATCAGACATGGAAGACTGTTTTTTCTTCTTTAAAGGAATCTGAATCCCAAACCACACCAAAAAACAACCAAACTTCAGCTGGACAGAATTCACCTGACACCCTCTCATTTCCATCAGCCCTTGACAGAGGACTGAGCAGCAAGAATGGAAGAAGTAAGGGGAAATGCTAGAACACTTCTTCCATCCTACAGCAGAAGCTGGAAGCTTGTTTTCAGACAGCAGAAGGCAAAGGAAATGGGATGCTTGGCACCACACACATCTTTCCCCGCATCCCCAGTAAGAAACTCAACCACATGGAGCAGGCAGGGCACCTACTGAAGTGAACTGGATGTTGATGGGCTCATTGCAGGACAGGGTCTGCTCCACTGCTCTTAGCTGCTTCACCTGGCTGCTGTCCCCAGCCTGCATCACTTCATCCATGTGGAAGGTGCCAGGCAGCTTGGAGTCCAACATGATAACAATGGATAAGTCAGGTAGCCTGGCAGAGAGAAAAACAGCATCAGCAATAACAGAACAAGGAGAAAACTGCCCACACAGGTGCACACTGCTCAGGGCAAACCTCCAGGCCAGCCTAACTTCTCTTCAGATGAGACCAATTACAGGTCCTCCTTCCACCAAAGCCTGTGTTGTGCAGTTGAGGGGACACAAGGCAGGCCACGGCTGTGGGGTCAGTGCAAAAACACCGGGTGTTCCTAACTCACCTTTTGCTCTTTATTCCCCCTGGACTGGATTTTTCTATCTCAGGACATGACTGCTTCAGAATATCATAGTATTTCTGTGTTTTAAATTGAGTGGGGAACACCAGTGCCTTACAGCCAACCTGTGGAGGGAGACAGAAACTCATGAGAAGTCACGTTGGGTTGATGGTCAGGACACGATAAAGAGCAGCCACCACCAACACAGGAACCACAGGGAGGTTCACTGAGGACAAAAGCAAACGTCTGTGCATTCATAAACCCCGCCAAGGGCAGGGCAAGGTGCTGTCACGGCACATCCAGCACTCCAAGCCTGGATCCAGGCGTGCAGCCAGTGCTTTGCTCCTCCTCAGTGCTGGGATCAGGATGGGCTGGATGATTTTTGCTGGGCAAGAGAGCAGAGCTGCAGCCTGAGGTTCCCCCTTCGCCCAGCATCAACACTACTTGTTGTGAGCACAAGGCAAGCAGCCGATTTTTCAGATTATGAGTCTCAACACTTAACAAAAAAAAAAAAAAACAGTCCCAAAATATGAAGAAATAAATAAAGTTAAAACAAATTAATTTGTGTTGGTCTGAAATGAGGAATTTTGAGGAACTCTGGAAAAACAAGGAAACCTAAAGCCTGCCTCTAAGGCCAAGCCAAGATTTTATTGTGGGAGTTTTTTCATAAGGTGTTCCTTTTACTAAGATTTTTTCCACATCTTTTTAAAGCGTTAGCTATTTTGAAAATTAAAACATTTTTCATTCAACCCTTACATTTACATAATCCCAAAACAAAGTGCCTTAATTACTCCAAGAATTTTCATTTCTTTTTCAGCAGAGATTTGCTGAATTTGACCCAGATTTACAAACTGCTTTCATCTTCCAAAAAATGCATTCTTGAGAAATAAACTATTTACAGAAATGATTTACTTGGCTGTTTTCATTATTTTCCCAAAGTCTGGGAAATGAGGAGACAAAGGCTATGCCAATAAACAATTTGTAAGTACCCTCTAGGCTTTGTCAGAAAGGAAGATAAACATTTGCTCTATTTTCTGGAACAGGCTGCCCAGAACCCAGGGGACTGTCTGTTTTGGGCCTTTGTAACTTTTTACTATTAATTCCTTCAAACTACAGTTCTGGTTGAACCAGCTCTGAAAAACAGATACTATGTGAGGAGAGGAGCTTGCAGGGCTGATGCTGTACGAGATAAGAGTCTCTGGTTGGGCACTTCCCACTTGGTTTCAACCTGAACGGCAGCAGACCTGTCTTCCAAAAACCTAGAACATAAAACCTGTCACCAGTTTGCTTTTGCAAAGCCCTGGGAAATACAGTAGGAATGCAAGGAATGGTTATTCTGTATTCATTTCCATATGCATCAAAGGGAGGGAACCTGATGGAGCAACAACGGGACCACACAGGTGGACAGGATCCAACAGGCAAAGCCCCAAAGCCTTCAGGAATTTTGTTGTGCAAATTAACAAACACAAACAAATCATTAGGGGGGTGAGGAAAATGAGAGATCCCAGCGGCCAAAGGTGCATAAAAAAAGCTGGGAATGCTGGCAAACCTGGGAAGGCAAGACAGGAGCAATCCCCAGTGGAGCTGAAGCACATTTCTTCTCTTACCCCATCGACACTCCAGATTTACACCAGAGGAGAAAATCAGAGCAGACTCTGACACAGGGAGATGGAAAGGAAAACAAAAGCCAAGTTTTGCTGAGGAAAAAGGGAAGTACTGAGCTGCACATTCCAGAGGGTGAGAGAAGCAGGAGGACATGCACCCTGGAAGAGACGTGCTCCACTGCAGCACTGCAGCACTGCAGCACTGGTTTCAACGCCTACACACGAGAACAGGAGTGACACCAGCGAGAGCTGTGAGAGGCTTAAATGAAGGATGAAATGAGAATTCAAATTGCAGCCCCATGACCCAGTTAGAGAGTTACTGATACAAGAGAAAAGTCTCCCTCAATTGCAAGAAATTATCCACTTTCTAGGTAAAACAATGAACTTGGATGCTGCTGGGAACACCCAGAAGTGTTCCCTCCCCTTTGATTTAAAGCTGAACAAACAACAGATGAACAAATTAGCTTCTTAATCTTAATTTTTAGCTATTGAACATTTAATAACCTGAATTCCTCATTATCTAAGCTAAGGAGCCTGAGCAGTTTAAATTGATTGGTGCTCTGCAAATTGCAGGCTCAAATTCAGGCAGGTGTATGAGGGTAGCTGAGGTGGCCAAGATCAGACAGCAGAAAGATGGTAAGCAGTGGCAATACCTAGGACTTAAACCAGTTTAAACCCAGGGCCAGCCAGACATCAGACAAACCTGGGAAGGAGAAATCAGGCTACCAAGTAGGCTGGTCCTTTCTGAGGTTCTACTTTCAAGGTGATTTTTGCCCCGAGCAGGAGGGGCAAAGAGGAGATATCTCGTCTTGCCTTTTTTATCTCATTCCCTAGTAAATGACTGCTGACAGATAGGTTGGGTTGGGGTAATATAGGCAATACTGGTTGTTAGCAGGGAGGGAGGGGGATGAGAAGGAGGCAGAAGTGTCCATCAAACAGACAGGGTGGCAGCCACAGGGAACAGCAACATCTGTGACCACTGAACTGCAGCTTGGTCCCCTTGGTCACTGTCCCCTCTACACCCACCATTAGCCCTGATTTCCAGCCAGTTATCCCTGATATGCTCAAGCAGAAGCTCATTTGTACCATGTCCCCACTCTCCCAGATGCTGCTTGTAGGTGTTTTCACAGCAAATCAATTAGTGAGTGCCATACAAACCTTCTTGAGGACAAACTCCAGCTCAGAGGCCTGGTAGGCTGGATTCACAGCTACCTGAGGAGGGAGAAACAAGAAAGTTGATCAGAGTTACCCTTGCCTTGAAAATCCTCCCCCCAGCACATATTCCAACAGAAAAGTTCTCCCAGGGATAAGCCACACTCAGAGCCTCTCCTCCAACACAGAAAACTAAGAGCTCACCACCAGAGGGATTCCACATCCACGGAAAAAAAAAATCCAGATTCTGTGACTGCACAAAAGAAAACAGTCCCAAAAGAGATTTATGTGAGGGAGGTCACACAGTCAAAACAGAGTTTCAGAAACAGAAACCAGACCTCCTGTCCTACTGGCAGATAGTCAATCCACTAAACTAGATCAAAACTCGAGTGCAAGTCAGGATTCTTGATGGACAACCACAAAATACTTTCTCAGTCCAGCTCTCCACAGAAGCAGTATTGGCTGCTGGAATTGAGTTCACCTCCAGGTTCATACTGAGCCACACTCTTCCACCCTGTTCCTGCAGACACTGGGCTAAACCAGGATGAAGAGAACAGACCACAAGGCTGGGTTTAGACCTTACTGCCCAAATAAGGTGTATTTTGATGAATATGCCAGGTCATATTACCAAATTAAAATTGTCTTTGGGGATATGCAGCTTGGACTAGATTTTTAAATGAGCATTTGTGCCTTGGAGCAATACATTTGGAAGGGACCTAACCAGCTGGTAACGGGCTAGGACAGCAGCATCCCACAAAAAATGGTCCTGTAGGCAAAAGCACATCTTCTGTCATCAGCTGCTGCAGTTTCTTGCTGCTCCATCCTCTGCAGTGTTTCCCTACAGAGTGGAGGACAAAGATGCAGAGAGCTGCACAGATCTTGTTTAAATACTGCATTCAGTTATAGACAGCATGCCAGGTAAGAGCATGAAAAAAAGAGACAACAAACTTTATTCTCCAGTGTCTCCTATCGCTTCTTTGTCTCCTTTCCCAACAGACTGCTAAAATCCCCGACACAGCACACTCCTTACCAGGATGATTCCTGCCTGGGCCGTTGCAAACTGCATGAGAACCCACTCGTATTTGTTGGGTCCCCACATCCCCAGTCGGTCTCCTTTCTTCAGGCCGAGAGCCAGAAGCCCAGCTGCTGCTTGGTCCACCTGTAAAACACAGGACAAGAGCCTGAGGATCACACACGGGATGCAGTGGGGCATATTTGTCTCCAGGCACTGCTTTCTGGGGAAAAAGCATCGTTTTTGCAACTGAAATGTACCTCAGGATGTACCTCCCCTGCACAGCCCATCAGCCTATGGCTGCAGCAGCTTCTGAGCCCCAGAGCACAGACCTGCTCAGCAGGTTGACTGAAAGCACAGAAATAACAAGCCTGGAACAATACCATAAAGCAGGAAGGAAACCAAAATGGGCAATTAGGTACAAATTGTTGTAAGTTAATTCTTGCTCTAGGACTACTTAGTGCCTGGCTCCTCATCAGCTACACTGAGGACTAAGCCTTACCCACATGCTGGGCCCATCCACACTGTTGGATCTGCCTCCCTTTTGGGATATCACTTACCTTGAAAAGGACTTGAGTAAAGAAAATTGTATAGTGTGATTTTTGACCAGTTTGGGGTTCCCATCTTCATAAGTCCTATGAGGAGCAGCTGAGGTTGCTGGAGGGGCTCAGCCTGGAGAAAAGGAAACTCAGGGGGGACCTTCTCACTGTCTGCAAATCCCTGACAGGAGAGGGGAGCTGGGGGGGGGTCAGGCACTGCTCCCAAGAAACAAGGAACAGAAGAAGAGGAAAACTGTACCAGGGAGAGGTCAGGTTGGACATTAGGAGGAATTTCTTCACTGAAAGGGTTGTTAAATATTGGAAAGGACTTCCCAGGGAGGTGTTCAAGAAATGACTGGATGTGGAACTCAGTGCTCTCTGGTCTAGTTAACAAGGTGGGGATCAGTCAAAGACTGAACTCAATGATCTTGGAGATCTTTTCCAGTCTTAATGATTCTGTGATTCAGTGATTCATTAACTTGTATTCAGCCACTGTATTAACAACTACTTTATTTTTTGAGATGGTAAGTGTGTGTCAGGTGTGCAGATGTATGAATAAATATTCTGAGATATTCAGGAAAGTTTTTATAGTTTTGTTGTGTTCTCAAATGAATTTATGAAATTTACCTTGTAGGAGATATGAATTTGAAGAACAGTTACTCTCTGATTTAGTTCAGAATTACAGTCTACTTCTTAAAATCAGGGTGAACACAGCTAATCTTGTTTATCCGAATGGATGTGACCCAAACCATACTAAGCCTAAAAAAAAACTTCAGAAAAAAACAACTCCTCCTATCCAAGATCATATCATACATTTAATAGAAAATGTCCAGGTAGTTAGCCTTGAAATACTGTCCCTCGATTTTGAAAACAGCTAAACATATATTTGTAAGCAACATGTACACACACACACACACACATAGATACACCCCCACACATCTGTGCATGTAATATTGAGCCCTAGTCCTTGACTTTGCTCCATTGCTTTTGGGCTCAGATAAAAACCTTCCACACACCCAGGATCTCTGATAGTCAGAATGACTAATACGGAAGGTGGAGTCTACTCCAGTAGAGAAAACACTGACTCAGCCCACAACCCATCAGATAGAGATGATAATTTTAAGGCATGAAAGTTCATTCTGGGATATTCAACAGGTGTTTTGTATGCACTGCCTCCTCCCTTTCATCTCCAGATTCCAAGGAGGACAAAGGCAGCACATGCCCGTCGGTGCACGCTGGGGACACGATGCTGGGGACACGATGCTCCCTCTCCATACACAACACACCTCAGTCCTGAGCTGAGCAATGAAACCATTTTCCATTTATCCATCATGTCTGCTGAGGTTACCCACCCACGTGTGCTCTCTGGGGGGTGAACCAGGCACTCACCTCCTCTTTGAACCGGGCAAACGTCCTCCGAACCCCATCCCGGCAGAACACCAAGGCCTCGCGGTCGGGGAACCGCTCGACGGTCTCCTCCAGGCACTGGCCCACAGTTTTGTCGAGAAGGGGAACGTCTAAAGGCCCCTGGACATAGCTGTTGGTCACTCCAGGGGAGACAGGGGGTACCTTTGTATGCAGGGCACTGTGAAAGAAAAGGAGAAGAGTCTATTTAATACAACCTGTCCGCGCAATTCTCCCCACCTGGAGGGATTATCTGCCTGCCGATGGCATCAGGAGTACACGAAGCACATTCCTGCAGAGCCTCCAGCCCTCTGTGGGAAACCAGGACCCTGCTCTCTAGTGGGAAGGAGCCTCCACCAGCCCTGCAGACTGGGCACAGCCTGGTCCTACCATCATCCACCTGTGGTGAAAACTACATGGACAAGTCAGGACATCTGGACAGACTATGGACTCTGCAGTTTACTGAGAGATGGCAACTGGGCTAGGTCTTTCTGCAACATAAATAACTGGGAAGGAACACTACGAAACCAGTTTGTAGATAAATTCCCTCAACTGGCTGAAAAGAACAGATAACTGAGAAAGGGAAAATTAAAATTAGAGATCAGTCTTCAAAACGGTCAGCAGGGAAGAGTCTAATCCTGCAGAATAAAGACTGTTTAAAAGAGTTCAGAGAAGTTGAGCCATAACTGAGGCGTCTGCAAAGGAATGGTCTGTGTAAACAACAGCAAGCACTCTATCTCTGCCAGCTGGAACACAAGGAGTTTCTAGAACTGCAGACAGCATCCGTAAAATGAGGAGCAGTGCAGAGGCAATAACACAGCAGGGAGGAGATGATCCCTACGGCAAACACTGGAGGGGGACTGGAGGGGTGTGAGCAGAGCAATGTCCTGGGCAGGAAAGGAGCACTGAGGTATGGTGCATAGCTCAGAGGCTGTGTTTGCAGATTCAATGGATAATGGGGGAGATCCCTGCATTAGACAACAAAACCAGCTCATCCTAAACTCAGTTTTCCTCCATAGGATCAATATTCTGCAAAGACTTGGTGCCATTTGCCACAAAAGATTTGTTTTCCTGCCCACGAGAAACAAGCCCCAGCATGGAGTTACCTCCTCTGTGAGGTGAAGTTCAGTTGCGATACCCTCAGGGCTCCAAGAGCCAAGCAAATACCCTGACCCTCTTCCCCCCACTGCTTTTCAGCAGATGGAGGATTGTGCAACTCCCACTGGGCTCTGTTCAGACATCTCTCTTCTCAGAGCTCTTGGGCAACTCACATCAAGGCTGTAGAGCTGCCCGGGGAGGAGGAGGGAGGACAAGTGCTAAACTGAACTACCATCTATTGATTGAAAGCTCTTGGGCAAGGCACATAGATAAACTAGGAGATTAAAAGAAAGCTCTGCAGAAGAAAAGCCTTTATAAATACAGGTTCTATAAAATAAAGGCTGAAAAAGCTCTCCCTAAGCCCAAGAGGACATATGCTCCTGGGAAAGCAGTAAAAGCCACAGCAGCCACTGACACTTGTTGGTTGAAACAGCAAGAAGCCCCTGTCCCCTGTCACAGGGTGGTCTCAGAGAAGCAGGTGGACAAGGAACCCTCAGGTTGTTTGCTAAAACATTTACTGGAGACAATCACACTCACATCTGCCTCAAGCCGAGTTGTTTCCAGTTTCGGCGGAGCCTGTTCCTAAATCCCCTGCTGTCCTCTGCCAGCTGAGGCACAGGGACGTTTCTGGGCAGGGCCGGAGCAGCTCCTGACCTGTTTGCGCAAGAGCACTTCCCAGAGCACTGTCCAGGGGTCACGGGGAGCCAAGAAGGCTCAGCACTGGCCTGAAGTGGGAGCAAGCAAACACAAGCCTTTCATGAACTGGGGGACACCACCCAAGGAACCAGCTGGTAAAAAAACTGGTGCAACGCATTCTTCTACCGCACGATTAAAAAGCTGAACAACAAAATACCATCACAAAAAGAGACGGGAGAGGGGAGGAAATATTATTAGAAAATTTGGGTTGAGAAAATTTAATCAAAATCAAAAGTGTCCAGCTGAAAGTCTCCTGCTCTCCACAGTCAACCTTCCAAGAGGTACTTGCACAACATTTCATTGCCAATGAAAAGGGTAATATCTTACACTGTTACGTCTTGGCAAAACATTACATAGATCAGGCTTTCTGGGATTACTATCCCAGTATTTTTCCAGGCCTGAAGAGACAAAGGGTTTCACTGACTTTGCAGAACCAGACTTTTACACTAAATGCAAGAAGGCACAAAGGCAGAACTAAATGAAAAAGGTCCAGGCTTCATGGCTTGGCTTCCTCCCTACTCCCGAATAGGGGGATGGAAGAGCATCAAAGAACAGTAAAAGATGTCATTATAAATCCCCGTGCTCCAAAACACCGTGAAAACACTGCTGGTTTCCCCCACATGTGTGAACACATGCCCAGCTTGCTCTCAGAGGTCTCAAGCATTCACATTTTCAAATGAAAGCAGCAGCAGCACTGAAATCAGCGGCTAAGATATCTCATGCTCATAACCCAGAGTCACAGACTCCTCTCAAAGCAATAATTCACATCGTTTCTTCAAATCCATTAAAGCAAAATTCACAACTGCCATTGAGTCTGAGCTCCCCAAATTCTGGTCTGATGTTGGCATGTGCTTCAACATTTCTGCATCATTTCTCTCCTGGCAGTGGCAGAAGTGAAAGGCATGAGACAAAACACAGCAGGCTGTTGGAAGCACTGGGGGTCAGGAATGGAAGGAATGAGGCAGATACAAGATATGTTCATAATCAGCAGCATCGTGCTGGAAATCACGTGGGGTTGGTCTCCCTCCTGCCTACAGCCTGCAGAAGTGTATATATCTGATCTGAAATAATGTATCAAGAGATCTCTACAAAGAAAGGATCCAAAGGATTCAGAAATAATCTTTGTGTTCATCTTTGTTACAGAAAACAAGTAATTCACCCTTCACCTCTTCCTACAAAGCATCTGGTGCTGCTGGAGATAAAACAAGACCAATGGTCCAATATTACAGCAGCTCTCATTTCCCTGACTCAGGAGAGCAAATAAAACTCTACTTGCTCTTGGGTGTCAGCACAGACTGTAAGACACGACTTTTAGAGAGCACATGTCTTCTGTTAGCAACACGTTTCAGCAGCAAGACAGCCTGCAGTGCCTGCAAAGGAGCCAGCCTCATCTCCAGGCTGTTCCTGCAAAATTCCACGACCCTGAAGTTCAGTAGCACAACTGAACAGAGAGACATCAGAGATCCGGGAAAAATGCATCCCCTTCCTGTTCCACGCAAAAGGCAGGAGAGCAGCCAAATCCCAGCAATCCCAGAGAGCTCTCCTGCCTGACACAAGGATCAGAACGAAGCAAGCACTCTGGACTAATCCTAGGAGCTATTTGTATTTATCTCTGAACAGCCCCAATAAACAGTATAGAGTTGTTGATATAAGATAACCAGCTCTGTTTTCACCTTTAACTCTTCATCAGTCTCTACAGAAATTATCAAAGGGGATGAGACAGGAACACAAGGCAGAGGTGTCACCTCCTGTCCCCTGTACAGTGTGAAGGACATTGATCTGACCAGTCCCTCTGCCCTCCCAGGGCTTAGGAACTGTCCTCGTTACAGAGGTCACACTCAGAAAGGTCCATGAACTCTCCTGCCAGTTCCTTTGCTCATGGACATCTACCAGGAGCTTCTCCCCACAAAGCAAGAGCCTTTGTGTCTTTTGTGTCATATGACTGCAATAAAAGGGTGGTGAAAGTTAGCCCAGCTCTGACCTCCCCTCTTCTTTGCTCTGTTGACTAAAGAGTTAACTAGGTTCTCATTTTTTTTTGTTTGTTTTGGTTTGAGGAAGGACCAAGTTCCCAGGGTTTTCAGACTCCTTCTGCAGCAACTTTCTGGACTTTCTAGTTATGTTTTTTACTGTGTTTCTCTGCCCTCAGTACTCTTCCTTTCAAAAGGATAAATACGCCTAGGAGCAGAATTTAATAATTTATTTTTTTTTTATAATGTTACTAGAAAGACTTTACTGTCTAAATTTGTCATCTTTTTCTCCAAGGGCTTTGTGTTCCTGCCCTACAGTTTCACTTCTGGGCTGGAGTGAACTGTAGTGAACTCTCTGTCATGCTTCCCTTCTGATCCAATTTCCTAAGATTTTGAGAAGGAATCTTGGAACATCCACGATGAGGTGGCTTCAGCCACCTCACTCCTAATGTCAAACCAGCTGAAAAGAAACACCTTGTCTGTGGAAAAACAAGGAACCCCTGTGGTTCCTGGGGAATTGCTCACTGGAAGTCATTCCTCCCATTGAGTATTAGGCTCTGAATATCAGCTAATCCTTCAGAGCCTTTCCCAAAGCCAGTTGCCTTCCCATTGCTGTTCTTTCACACAAACTTGCTCCAAGAGGCAGCACTGAAGGAAAGTAAAATAAAGAACTGGGCTGACCCCCACAGAGCTCCTTGGTGCCCTGGACCTGCTGTGTCCCTCACCACCCTGCCCACCTGGGGTTCTGCAGGACCACAGGGGGACAGGGACACTGCCTGCAAGTCAGAGTGCCCAAGGAGGGTGAAGAAGCCATTTGATACGTTTGATGTTACTGATATCAGGATGGAGCTGCTGCACAAAGAAAGTTCAGCCCTGGGCTGAACATCCCTCCATAAACTGTGCAGGGCTCCTCATTTCCCCCGGTCCCCTCCCAGGCTGTGGGGGCAGACTCAGGGGGTGCAGCCTGCCGTCTCCCATTTTGGAGGGGCTGTCCCCCATCACACATGGTCTGCAGCCTCTATGCCCCACAGTCCCCCATCTCCAGCCCCCACCGCCCTCCACCCTCTATAATCCCCATTCCTTCTCATCCACAGCCCCCTGTTCCCTATAGCCACCCTATAGCCCGCACCCCCGTTCCCCCCACACTCTCTCCCGGTTCCCAGCCCATCCCTACCTTCCCGGAGGGGGTCCCCGCCTCCCGCCCGCCCGGCGCAGGACCCGCAGCCCATGCCGGGGCAGCGCTGCCAGCCGGGCCGCGGCCATTCCTCCAGCGGCGGCAGGACCGGGACAACCGACGGGGCCCGACCCGTCCCGTCCCAACGCTCGGAGCGCGGGGGCGGTGCCCGGCCCGCCCCGGCCCCGCTCCGCCCCATCCTCGGGGCCTGCGGGGGCCCGGGACCCTTCGCCGGCCGCGAGGAAG